AGCCCGAATATTAGACTATGTCACGACGCGCGACATCAGCCAAGCGGGATTAGATTATTCGACACTTACACAATGTTGTCTCATAGTAATGTAAATTATGTATATTTTATTATATCTATTAAATTATGATATTTTTATTATATTTATATAATTTTGTGTACTGGTTTAGCTGGTTGTAATTGAAGTAGAGAATGAATAATATATTTACCAATTAAAGAAGTGTAACGTAGAAGACTCATAATTCAGAGGTCCCAGGTTTGAATCCCACAAAATGCGTTTTTTAATATCAATTTAAAATAGTTAATTTCAGATATAATTATTATAAATGTCTTAGAAATAAAATTTGTAACCCTTAAATATAAATTTTTTTTTCGAATATTAAATTAGTGTTAGCTCGGATTCAATCCATTTTCATGGATTTAAAATACGCATTAAAAAAATGTTAATCCATTTTAATCCATTCTCGTTTGCTGGGTAGCCAATACGGTGCAAGATTCTAAGATGTAAGATCTAAGGTATAAGATTCTAGCTAGCAATCCAGCAGAAAAGCATCGTGTACCGCAAAGTTAAGAGTGATTCTTACAAGACTTTCCGATTTTAATAATTCATTCGATCATTCGCTCATATGTACGCAATGGAAAGGTGTTGGTTCCCCATGAAGCGTACTTTTCGAGATGCGGTTACGAAAACCAATCATAAATTCATTTAGCATTTCTGTTAGAATGTACTACAGAAATTCTAATCAGCAATTGGTCGCATTTCTCTTATCTTCCGCGAGATACGCCCAATGTAAATATCAGCTTTCAGAATGGCATATTCTAGTAAATGTAACAGATGACGTTCGGCATTGCAAATCGGAGGCGTTCGTTTGCTCTTTTACCTCGAAAATTGTTCGGCAATTCGCATTTTTCTGCTACATATTATATCATCTTATCTGCGTTCGATATTAACATTTCTGGAGCCAATCGAACTGCTCGATCCACTCTGGATTCAAAGACCGAGTTCGCAAAGCTAATGCAGATTTTCGCGCCTAAATTAAATTCATAACCTATATATTTATGATAATGCTATCAAACAGAAATTGATGGAATACACAGGGGTATGCAACTCCCTTAGTTCCAATGACTACGCATTGTCTCCGTGGCGCTTGCGGTCAACCGGGCCTGTAGGTGTCGGATGGGGGTATGGCGGATACGATCAACGCGATCAATGCAATGATACAAACGCTTTAAAGTCTTTTTTGATTGATATATATATATATATATATTTATATATATATATTAAATTAAAATATATATTTTTTTTGACTCTATGTATATATATATATATATATATATGTATATATATATACAGTGATGGGAAAAAGTTCCGGAACGGTGAAGTATTTCAGCGAATTGCATTTTTTTGGGAAAATGTTAAATACAGAAGTTTTAGGATTTTTGACTATAATCTTGAAATCAACGTCAAGATCATTTCAAGATGAAAGTTCCAAAAATCCTGATACGGCAAGAATATCTCGGCGAAATTGCGGGAAAATGTTCAATACGAAAGTTTCATGGTTTTTTTCCTGGTTATGTACGTTGTTTGTTTAGCACACAATTTTAACATCTCTTAGCCATTTTTCAACCTAAAATAAAAAGTATTTTTCATTTCTACCACGTGGAGGTAGATGTCTATCCAGAACCTTTTTATTTTTTTTGTATTTTCATTTTTTATGTTTTTTTTTTAATTTTTTGTTACTTTTTACTTTTTACGTAAACGCGTGTGCGTGCGTGTGTATGTGTGTGTGTGTGTGTGTGTGTTGTATTTAATGTATTAAGTGTTCAAACTGATGCCCGTGCAATGCTTGACAGTGTGCCATACGTATGTAAATACTTTCCTGAACATTTTGTAACATTTCTGGTGTGATTGAATTAGACACATTTATTATTCTTGCTCTTAATTCATTAATATCAGCGGGTTTAGTCTCAAACACTTTACTCTTCAAATATCCCCAATAAAAGTAGTCTAATGGTGCTAGGTCCGGTGATCTAAGTGGCCATTCAATCGAACCTCTTCTACCTATTCATTTATTATGAAATATTTCATTAAGATAATCTCGAGTAGCTACGGCAAAGTGAGCTGGGGCCCCATCTTGCTGAAACCAAACATGTTCAAAAGCGAGTCCAGTAATTTCTTGGATACGTGGCACGACTTCCGTTCGTAATAAATGCACGTAATTCTCCGCATTTATGTTCCCCTCGATAAAATATGGCCCAATAATATTCTGTCCTAAAATTCCTGCCCAAACATTTAGTTTTTTTGGGTGTTGTGTATGCGAATCTCTCATCCAATGAGGATTAACATCAGCCCAATATC